ACCGGTCTTTCTCAGAGGAAGAGCAGCCTGAGGTTGGCTGTAAGGAGCCGAACACCAAAGGCACTTTAAATAACCCCGAAAGTCCATCTGACCAAGAGGAAGAACAGGAGACTCAAAAATTACGTATGGAGCCAAATGTAAGTGATGAGGAAAGCACAGGCAGCTTAGATGCAGATGAACCATCATCTTCAGGGGGAGAGCAGCTAGAGATGAAATGTAAAGAGCTAAAGGTTATGAGTGAAGGTTTGCCTGGCCCTGAGGAAGAGCAAGAGAGTGTAGAGGAACACACAGATGATCAGCCAGGCCATGAAAAAGAGAAATGTAAAAGGTTAAAGGCTTTGATAGAAGCCACAGAAGAGGACAAGGTTGGTCTAGGCAATAAGACAAAAACTCAGAGTACTGAAGGTGAAGAGCTGAGCATTTTATTAGGAAATCAGGATTTATATGTCAAAAAAGACAACAGCAGCTTGATCAAGACTGACCGTCTGTCAAAGTTTAATGCAGATGAAGACAGCGGGAATGACCACAGCAGCTGCGAAGAGCAGTCACAAATCAAAGATGAACAAATCAGCAGCTCAACTGAAGAAGAATTACGCCACTATGAAAAAGAATTCCCCTCTGAGGAGGAACATGCCCACAATAACAAACACATAGAGGAGAGCTACCAGGAAGCTCCTGCATCAGAGTGTGAAGTTACAAAACGTGAAAAGGCTATAGAAAAACTCAAGCATCAGTCTGAGGAAATAATTTCCCAATCTGTTGCAGAGAGGGTTAGTCTTCTAGAAAAGCAAGTTGCTGATGCCCAGAGGAGAGAAACTGGTACAGGAAGTTCTGCCATCAGACGCTTTTCACAAAGAAACTCCCATCTTGAAGATTCACCCTCACCCACATCTCAGTCAGCACTGTGCACCCGATCAGCTCCTCAGTCATCGTTATCTTTCAGCTACAATTCCAGTGGCATTAAAACCACAGAGCCTGAGGGAAACAGGGTCAGATCCATCAGGGAGCTGTTCCTGGCAAAGAGTGCCACAGACACTCAGCAAGGACAGAGACGCTTCCCAAGCCCAGATCCTTCCACGTTCAGGACAGAGACCTCAGCTAGTGGCAGCTATCAGTCTCCGACTTCAAGTGAGCCATCCAGTGGTGAAGATGATTCATCAAGGAAAACTATCACCAAAGGCTTTGTTAGGAGGACAATTGAAAGGCTTTATGGGAGGAGAGATACTAGTCCTGATGTGGAAGCAGGTGAAAGGCCCCCGTCCGCGCCAAAACAGAAAAAGAAAGAACATTCTAACATTTTCCACACAGTCCAGTCCAAAGCCATGTCAGAGTTGTCTTACTTCAGTTCCACTAATGCTATGGACACCTTAAATGAAGCAACCAGAACCACTGCTTTTAATGCCCAGGTTGGACCTGGAGGCAGTGTTCCTATTGCCAATGGGAGATGGCTCCTTAGAGAGAACACATTAATTAGAAAATCAGTTTCAGACCCAGCTGGAATTAACAAAGCCTTTACAAACCCTCTTCAAGGTGAGGGACTGTGTGAGGACACAGAAGAGAACACCTCATATTCACCTTCCAGTACAAAGTCTGAAGGAGAAGACAAGCAGGCGTCATTTTCAAGGAAGTGCACCTACTTTTCTTTGCCCCATGCTAGTGACTCAGACGTATGTCAGGATGACTTGAGCACTGGGAACAAGAGTAGTGTGAATGGTGACAGCATCACAGACATGAAAGACAATTCAGAGGACTCAAAAATGTGGGTAGAGAGACACAACACACTGCCTGTTAACAGTGTGACTGATTTTAGGATGATGGATAACAAAGTGCACCCACTGATAGAGGCCCCAGCTGATGGTGAGGTTGTAGTGGTGCAGCCTGGGAAAGGTCAGAGGGCTCTGAACAGAAGGCTTCAGGAGCCGGATGTGTTGGACTTACTGTACAATTTTTGTGGTCAGCACTGTCCCATCCTGTAAGGACACAAGTAAGCTTTTTAATGTTAATCACACAAATCACAAAACAAGTGTACACTGTACGCTATCTGTGGTGCCTACATTTTGTTGTTGCTATAGAACTTGACATAATACACGATCATACTGTTTGTCAACTCATTTGAGCTAACAGATGCTAAAGTTAATGGATTAATGTTTATTCAACCTTCATATTTTACCATGTATGTTTAAAGCTGGTGAGTCAGTTTACAGTATGTTTGTTCCTTGCTAAGTGTAAAAAAGGTGAATGTTTTTCCAACTCCTTAATTTGCACATGCACACTCCAAAGCAGCTCTTTAATTCTTACCGGTTGCCTGACAACAGAACAGAGCATTACTGTAATCCTGTTTTAAAGCTCTTAAAACAGATCACGTCCCTGCAGATGTCAGGCAACAAGGCCAATCCCCACTGCACTTAGTGAATGAGTGTGTTTATGGCCACAGCTGTTTTGGCCTGAAGTTACTGTCAAAAAAGCAAGAATATGGAACATTTTGTGGACTTCTGCAACTGTCAGTAAATACTTTTATATTGTTTTGAATATTGGCTACTTAAAGTGTAAATAATACATTTATTTTCATTATATAGCCAAAGCTTAACACACATTTATGATAACATAATTAGGATAAATGGTTTTATGGTTTACAATATGGCAGCTGTGATAACTGTCTCCTTAAAATGTCTAAGAATAAAGGTGTGTATTAGTAACTGTTGGATTTTCTTTCAGTCCACATCATCTCCACATATTCTGCATTAGATTCAAGCTACACTGTGCATTTAGTCTTAGAGGGAAAAGCATTTGATTGAGATCATCCTAGTGTCAGTTAGTCAAACAGCCAAGGTGAACATTGTGTTAAAGACATATTTAGGAAGCGCAGCTCTGTCCCTGATCTGTATCAGACCTCTGTTTTCTCACTCTGTGCCTGAGGAAGTATCCATGTTGTTCTAAGGTTGTTTTGTTTCTCAGAAGCTGCCACTGAGCTGGCTTGTGTTGTGACAGGGATGCCGAGGAATGCACTAAAAAGGGGCTTGTCTGCAGCCAAGAGAAAACACGACAGGCAGAAGATTCTCACATGCCATCATAACTTAATTTGTATTTTAAAGCATTGAACACTGCAAATAATGACTCCGGAGAAATTTCTGCTAATGTGACATTTTATAACAGAATAATGACTAGTACAATCTTATAATTATTATTATAAATATCACTGACAAATGTTTACTGCAACAGCGGCCACTAGATGGCACTGGTCATCAATACAACAAAGCATTCACGTTCCATAACAAGTTTATTGAAAGTAAAAAAAAGTAAAAGAAGGTACGTGATCACATACTCACCTGGTGTATCATGGAAAAAACTGAATGTGCACCATGTTTTAAATGGTTTATTTAAATAAATATTTACATAACTTCGTATAAATCAAATGTCTCTTTTTGTGACACATCTGCTGAAAGCCTTAATAAGAAAGAAGAAGAAAATATGGGATGGATTACAATGATACTTTAAATCTGTGTGGTGACAGGCAGAGGTTCATTTCAGCCCCTCATGTTGATCAATCACTGATTCCTGTTTGCACCTGGCTGACATTTACCATCACTTGAACACCCTTTAACAACTGGGCAGTGAAACCTTGCTCATCTTTTATTAGAAAATTTGTTATATTATCCATAAAATCTACATGATAATTTGAAACATTTCAATTTATTGTTAATAAGGAATTGGAGGACGATACTCTACAGTAACTCAATAAAATGCCAAATCAACATCGTAAGTCACACATTATTCATTTAGGCACAAAACAATAAACAGCCTTGTAGAAATTAAAAGACATCACTCATACAGGATAGGCTACAATGCCCTGCTAAATCATGTACAGTATATGGCTCAACTGGGAAAACTAAACAGTTCATATGAGGTGAGCTACAACAAGCACGCAATGCCTGAGTTACACCAAACCGCATCTCTTCCATCGGATGGCTGCAGTGAACTCCTCTGAAGAAATCACCTGACTAATTTGAAATGTTACACTAAAACATGATAGTAAAATAAAATCAGTGAACTCTGACCTCACAGTGCACTTGTAGCTTCTATGCACAACTGATAAACTTGAGGCAATGGCAGCATCACTGTTAACTGTAAAGAGAAAGTTCCTCAATGTACAGTGTACTACGTGACGTAGATGTAAAAAAAAAAATTTAAGTAACTGTTTATTTAATGCAGTCGACTGAATTTATGCTTCTCAGGGATTAAAAAAAAAACAACAAAATGCTCTTTGTTTCCTATTGCTGTCAGGTCATGCACATAAACTCCATATTTCTAATAATTCCAATTGTTTACTAAAAACGTATAAAGAAAATACTCTTTTTTTTCCCCAAAATACTATGCAGAGAGGAATTAAAGGGTGAAATAACATTTCATAAACAACATACTGTTGTTTTCATCCTGAGGTTTACACCATTATGCATCCTCTCAAAGGAGTAATTTACAGTTCTTGTCATTGTTAAGCATATAAAGACTGCGTCAGATGTTGTTTCGTGACAGCGTGTCCTGTTGGTCTGTGAATGTCTTGCTTAAATCTACTATCACCTCTCCTGAAGGCCGTCATACTGTGTCATTTTTGGTTTGGGATGAGTGTGTTCCACTCACAAAGTTATAAACCAAAAACTGAGACGTGCCAAAATAATGTGCGGCAAAGAGTTTTCCATCAGGAGTGGGGTCGGAGAACGCAATCTCATCTTTGCTCAGGTACGAACCATATATGAAGTTGTTTCTGTGCAGGAAAAGAGGAAGTGTTAATCAGGTTTAAGTTACCTTCAGGTGAAGCAAGATCAAATCTCTGCAGGTTGTAGGCGCACTAACCTGAGGCACTCAAGCATGCGTGAGGCGATGCCCTGGCGTCTCATCATGCTGACAACCCAGATGCGGCTGATACCACAGATGGCTGGTTCTGGCGTGGTGGAGCAGCACCAAGCTCTCTGACGCTCAAACATCACCTTCTCACCTTCTGAACCCTCCGGTACGGGCTCCTCAATCACACGGTATCCCTGTGAGCAATCAGACACACATGGACATAAAGAAGCATCTGTGAAGACACAAGTACCTGATACATGTAATACTGGTAGGCTGTCTCTCACCTCTTGTATGTGCTCTGCTATAAGGCATCCAGCCACTTTCTTGTCATTGGAGATGAAGAGGAAGGTTTTGGTCTGAGAGGGACACTTGGTCTCCACCTGCTGGAAGCCGAGGTCATAGTCCACCATCTCCCTGATCTCCTCCACCTGATGAACAAACAGTGACTGCTCAGTGGAGAAATTGGTCGGTGGTGGCCAACTGATCCAGATATTTTAATTCTGTGAGTATTTTTGGGGCAGATTACAGCTGTTTTTTATTTGCTGTTTGTTATAAAGGTTTCAGCTATGTTTAAACAGCTTTCTGTAAGCTATATACAAACTCCTTATTCACATTTCACAAAATGTGACATTCTCTATCTTTATTCTCCTGACAACAAAAATAACTTCCAAAACCATTTCTATGCAGTTTGTCTAGTAAATGAAACAACCTTATGTTTATCTGAAAAATATCAATTACATTTCATTCTGTTAGGCTGCAGTAATCTTTAACTAAGACAATTTCCCACTAAAATACATTCATTGCTTTAGCAAGGCTGCTATCAACAGCGACAGTCACCAAAGCAGCTAGTAAACATACCTTCTTCAAAGCATATTTGGGATCATCTGGCAGGACAAGGATGATCTTGCCATCAGGAAACTCTCCCAGAATCCTCTCTTTTTTCCATCCCTGAAAAAACAAATGGATAAAAGACATTAATGGGTATAGTTGTTTTTTTCTGCTCAGGTATTCATGTTCTTCATTTGCACCATACCACTGGACTGCTTCAAGTCTTTTAAGTGCTACATAACACATATGCTTGAATGCTTTCAGTGTATTTAAACGAAGAATGGTGCATGGATACAGTGGTGCTTTTCTGTGATGAGTCAACATTGTGAGAGAGCAGGCGAGCCAAATAATAGACACGTAATTTAAGGAAACATCCTCTCACCACATATTTGACAGCACTGACGAACTGATTGTGGAAGAGTAAGTGCTGAGATTCATCCTCAGGGTTGGCAGCAGAGTAAAGCATCCCACACACACTGCAGGCCACTGCTCCAAAATGCTTCTGCCCGACATCCTGCCAGGCAAAGGAAACACCGGTCACTCCTTAATTCTAAATACATCCTTCAAACATATGCAAGATGTTATTCCAAAGGATACCTTACTATGTATTTTCTACAAGGACTTAGCCTGTACTGGGTTTCTACATTTAAAATGAAATGAACATTTAAGATGAAATGAACAAATTCAATTACAATGATGGTTTGGGTGCCATCTCTGTCAGCCTCCTTCAGTTTCTTGACTTCTCTTTGCAGAGCAGCATCAGATAGAGGAGTCCCACCCTCTTGTGGCTTCACTGCTCCACTGTGATACAAACATTCATTAGATTACAACAGGTTTCTGCTGCTACAAGGAAAACATGTGAAACAACTTCTTACTCTTGACAAGGCTTTTCTGAAATCTCAGGTGTTTTGGGTGTTTCTGTCTTATTCTCTGGAGACGTCTCAGCATTGGGGACTGTTAAAGAAAGGTACAATATTTACACAGTGGTACAAATTTGTACAAGTAGTCAGAGAATAAGTTGCTGAAAATGTTTTCAATATACATTAAAATTCAATTAACATCTACATTTATGTTACAAAACCGTCAGACATACACTTGGGTTCGGACATGCAGGTCAAACTTTAGGCAATGACTACTGGTAGGAGAACTCAAATGTCTGCTTTGTTTAATATGGGGGAAAACACTACAGACTCTGCATCAGGCTAGCTTCTGACATTATATACTGCATGCCTGTTGGGCACGGTTCAGGTTCACACAGAAATATGAAGCCTGATCCATGCTTTACTTTCAACAGGGCACAAGTCTGCATGTGACTGCATGCAGTCACATTAACAGATAGACAAACACATCATGACAATCTTATGTGTATGGAGAACACAGCACACGTAATCCAGCTCTCTCCATCAAGGTCTAGGTTACATCTGAATGAAGTCGTGAGGAACATTAATGTAAACGTGACCTTTGTCTGAACGACAGAAAGCTGCCGCTTTAAGAGACTGACGAAACCAGCAATGTTACATATTCCATGTCTGAAAAGGGCTATAAACTGTTTTTCACTCTGATTTCATAATTTAGTGATAACAGAACAGATAATAATAATGAAAGCCTAAGAGTACAAATAAGAATCATTGCTCAATAGAAGACAGAATCAATTCTGCATTTAGTAATGTGCTAGTAACAGGAATGAAGCTTAAAGACATCATTCAGCTGTAAATCTATACCTGCAGGTGTTTCATCACACTGCTGCACGGCACCAGACACTTTCTCTTCAGAGGGAAGGGAAGAGGTGGGAGTTGATGAAAGTACTGTATCCTATGTAAAAGAAGAGGGGAAAAAAGTAAGACCTACAGTATATTCAAACACGTCGTTTGCTACCAAACTACGGCTGCATTGAAAGTGTGGGTTTATATATCTTGTCTTTAAGGTACCTTGCATTTGTCATTTTCGGATGATGGGAGATTTGGGGTTTTCTGAGTCACTGAAGCAGCTTCAGGAGCAGCAGGCTGGGTTTCAGATGTGGTTGAAACAGCAGATGTTGTTGGAGCAGACTGCTTCAACTGAGCTGTACTCTCATCAGCGGGCTTTAACTGAGGTGAAGTGGAAGCTGCAACAGCTTTTGACAGAGGTGCCAACAACACAGGAGATTTGAATTGATCTTTAGCTGAAGAAGCAGCTGTTGATGAAACTGCGCCTGTAGCTGTGGCCTTTGACTGGGGTGTTGCTGCAACAGTAGGTTTTGATTGTGTACTGGTGCAAGAGACGGGCTTTGACTGACCTGAGATCTGTCCAGCTGGTGTGGCCTGAGGTCTCAGTTTTGCCTGGTTGGCAAGTTGTGGTGACAGTGTAGGATTAGACTGAGCTGTGGTCAGTGACTGAAGGTTTGGCTTTGTCAGCTGTACAGGCCTTGACTGAGGACTGGGCTTTGTAGGAACTACTGGTAATGGGTCATCATCCAATTCAAAGTCATCCGGGGAATACTTAGGCCGGGGTCTGTATGGCTTGTACTCGACATCAGGCTTCGGTTTTTGAGCATTAAAGCCGTTGGGCATGGGAGGTGGTACTGCAGGGAGGGTCCTCTTTGATGCTGATCTGGTCACTTTTGGGGTGGTTGGAGTAGTTGCTCCTTTAAGACTCTGAGCCTTACTTTGCCTTGTAATTCTACGGGTTTCAGTAATAGGAGTTTCGGTTTTAGAGGCTTCAGTTTTGGGGGATTCAGATTTATTAGGTTCAATTTTAGAGGTTCCAGATTTAATAATTTCAGTTTCAGAAGGTTCAGATTTCAAGGTTTCTGTTTGAGTGGATTCAGGTTTGGAGATTTCTGTTGTCACGGGTTCAGTCTTAGGAGTCTCAGCCTTGGGAGCTTCTGCCTTGGTTGCAGCAAGTTTGCTAGATGCAGCAGGACTAGGGGAAGATGTTTTTGGTGGACTGACTGCAGATGGTGGATTTGTGGTCACAGGACTAACTGAAAATGAAGAAGTTGGAGACAAAAAAGGTGTCTGCCAGTCAATGTCTGAAAACATCTGATTTACTTGGTCAGATTTCAGTTTCTTTACACGTGCCCAAGACATTTTCTCTCTTTGCAGTTCGACCTGTCTTAGTCTTTGATACCTAGTTAACTTCTTTTTCTCATGGGCTTTCAGTGGTACTGAAATTTGTGTGATGAAGAAACGTCTCTTTGGAGGCTCAACAGCAGGCCCGGGCTCATCTGAAACAGCTGCTGAGGGCTGGGCTGCAGGTGCCTCCTCAGCAGGGGTCACAAAAGCAGCGCACTCTTCTGGCCCAGCAGCAGTTGGGACATTAACAGTATCAGCATCAGGTGTGCTTACAGGTGGACTTTCCTTCTTGCTGTCTCCACGCTTGGCTACCGCTGCTGCCGCTGCTTGTTTTTCTTCCTCTATCCTCTTCAACAGCATGCTGTCTGTCGCAATGTCATCTGCGATTTCCTGACACAGAGCTAAGAGGTTCAGCTGCTGTCGGTTTGCTGTTCTCTTAGCTGCTGCAGCCTTTTGCTCGGCCAGAGCTGCCATGCGAGCTTTGGTCCTGGCTTGGGTATTCATTTCTTGTTTTTTGGGTTTTTCTGTCTCCTGTCCCTTTGTATCACCTTCAGTCTTCTCACCAGAAGCTCTGTTCTGCTTCACGCTGCCTCTACTAGTGTCAGTTTTATTTTTCTCATTTACCTTTTTTTCAGGGTCTTTAGGAGGGGCTGCCACCGGTGTTTCCTGGGATTCTTCTGTTACTCTACTGTTACTGTCTTCTTCATTCTCTTCCTCTGCTACCACAATCTCCCGACCAATCTCTATATCCTCCAGAATCTGCACTTCTTGTAGGTTTAGGTTCGCCTCAGCATCCCTGACAATCACAACATTATAGTCTTCATCTGTGACTTGAGAGTCACAGTTTTCCACATCCATTTCTGTGGTATTACTGTCCATTGTGCTAGACAACAGTTGCTGGCAATGGTCAAAATCTGAACCTTCTGAACCTTCCCCAGTTGATAGTTCCATCCTAACTGTGGTCTCCTCTTCCTCACCTGAAGTAGTCATTGTAGCATCTTTAACCTCAGGTAGTTCTGCCTCAGGAAAGATGGTTTGTTGGGCACCACTTAAAAGCCTCTGATTTTCCACTTCACCTACTAATGCTCTGTCTGGATTCACCTCCTCTGAGAGCGAGGCAGCCAAACCTGATTCAGCCACTGCTTGGGTGACAATATCAAAGGGAATTTCACTCTCTGGCACTGGCTCTAAGATCACATACTCAGATGTACTATCTCGTATCTCAGCTTCATTGGTGGCTGTAGTAGTTGTCACTGAGACATCTGCAACCACCTCAAGTCCAGCATCCTTTTGCACCTGTTCAATAAACTCTGTGGCACTGGTGCACTCTGAAAAACCATTCCTTTCACTTTTTTCTGCTGCATCTCCCAATGAGCCATCTGGCATGTTGATATCGCTAGAGCTGATCATAGCAACTTGTTTCACGTCCACGTACACATTACTCTGCTCCAAGTGCGGAGTGAGAGAACTCTCTGGCACATTAATGGTTTGTACTTCCATTTCCAATGATGCTTGGCTGTCTGAGACGCACATTTCTTCTTTAACGTATTCCGCATTTTCCAGTTGTGGGTCATCGATTTCTTTGTTTTCTTCTTTAGCACAAGAATCTTCTCTCACCTGATGGATCTCTGTGTTCTGTATGTGCAGTACAGAAACACCATCATGCTTCTGTGATGCTGCAGAGACCTCCCTATCGTCAGAACTTTCTGGACTACTTATGGGCTCATACACTATCTGGTTTTCGTAAAGCTGAACCTCCGACTGATTAACTGTCTTAATCTGCTCTTCTGATGCCTGAATTACAATATCATTGTCACCTGGCTGGCCACAAACATAAACCACAACTTTATTGTTTCCAGGTTCTTCTCCTTGTCTTTCAGTATTACTGACTGTTTTGTCAGCCTCATCACTAGAATTGACTGTAGTCTCTTCTTTGGCCTCATTTATCATTTGCTTCCCTGATTCCTCTTCTAACATAGATTCTACAGTTTCTATTGCCTCACTTATTACATCCATGTTCCCTTGAATATCTTCAGCACTACAGTCTGTCTGAGGCATGGTTTCATTTGCTTTAATTTCCAAAATAGTTATAGGAGAAGTTTTCTGAATTGCATTTGATAAAGCTGCAGTGGGTTCAGTGACTTCCTCCATCCCGTGGTATTGCTCTTCTGCTGCTGGTGCTGGAATAGAAATCTCTTCAGAAACAACAGTAGTTTGCAGATGTGCTTGAATCTCTGGAAAATTAAGTGAGTGAGCAGAAGCCTCATCTTCAATTTCCTTATTCCAACAAGTTGCAGTTACTTGATCTTTTTGAATGTGATTGTCTGTATTGAGTTTATTCTCCTCCTGGCCGTGCTGGTTCTGCAATTCCACTATAGATCCTGGATCAGAAAGCTCCTCTGGTGTTGCTGTTTCTGCATCCATTCTTGTTTGATTTTCAGTAGCACTAAAACATTCAGTCACAACCTCTTTCTGGTTTTCCTTATTCTCAGTATAAGCAATGCTTCCATCCTTTAGAGGTTCACTGTCAGTAGTGACCTCATGTACTCTCTGGTTTTGTGTTTCTGCTGCTGTTAGATCAGAAATATCCTCTGGTGGTGGTGTTGTCTGCATTACAATTTCTATTAGACTCTCAGTAGCATCACCACTTTCTGTGATAACCTCATTTTCCCTGTTGTTACACTCATTTGCGGGAATCCTTGCACCTTCTTGAGCTTTTTCTGATGCATCTATTGTAGGTTCAGGGGCTTGGCTTTGTGTGTCTGCTACAGGTGGTGGAACTGCAATCTCTGATGTGGATTTAACCCACAATTCCATTCTGATTTGATTCTCTGGTAAAGTGACAGATTCTGTAGATATGTCTACACTATAGTCATGGACACCCTGGCTCTTCTCACCCTGTATTTCAGTTGTAAGTGCAATGTTACAAAATTCCTCTGATGCTGCCATCTCCATATCTCCTTCACTTAGATTTTTCTGATTTTGTATTGCCATTGAAAATTCTGGATTAAAAATCTCTGATGTTGATGTCGTCTGCATTTCCATTTCAGTTTGACTCTCTGGTAAAGACATAAATTTGAAGCTAACCTCGTCTTTATTTTCTGTGTTTTCAGAATTTTCTATCGCTAGCTCTTGGCGAACCTTTGCAGAATTCTCTGATGTGTGCCCCATCACTTCCTGGCTTTTCTGACTTTCCATTTCTGCCTTGGGTGATGTGTTAGAAATCTCATCTAATGTTTTTGTAGTCTGCAATTCCACTTCTACTTGACTTTTCTCCATTTCCACTGAAGAGACTGGGTCTGAAATCTCTGATGTTGATGCAGTCTGCATTTCCATTTCAGTTTGACTCTCTGGTAAAGTCACAAATTTGAAGCTAACCTCGTCTTGATTTTCTGTGTTTTCAGAATTTTCTACCACTAGCTCTTGGCGAACCTTTGTAGAATTCTCTGGCGTGTGCCCCATCACTTCCTGACTTTCCATTTCTGCCTTGGGTGATGTGTTAGAAATCTCATCTAATGTTTTTGTAGTCTGCAATTCCACTTCTACTCGACTTTTCTCCATTTCCACTGAAGAGACTGGGTCTGAAATCTCTGATGTTGATGCAGTCTGCATGTCCATTTCAGTGTGACTCTCTGGTAAAGTCACAAATTTGAAGCTAACCTCGTCTTGATTTTCTGTGTTTTCAGAATTTTCTACCACTAGCTCTTGGCGAACCTTTGTAGAATTCTCTGGCGTGTGCCCCATCACTTCCTGGCTTTTTATTTCTGCTTTGGGTGATGTGTTAGAAATCTCATCTAATGTTTTTGTAGTCTGCAATTGCACTTCTACTCGACTTTTCTCCATTTCCACTGAAGAGACTGGGTCTGAAATCTCTGATGTTGATGCAGTCTGCATTTCCATTTCAGTTTGACTCTCTGGTACAGCCACATGTTCAAAGTTCACCTTTTTTTTATTTTCTAAAGATTCCGAATCTTCGACTTTACGATCTTCATGAAATTCATTAGAAATGTTTCCAATAGGTTCACTGACTTCCTGGCTTGTCTGGTTTTGGATGTCCACTGTCTGTGCTAGGTTATACACTTCCTCTGATATTGTTGTGGTCTGCATATCCACTTCTATTTGATTCTCAGGGGCAGCAACATTTTCATCATCAGCTCCGACTTCACCTTCAGTGCTCGGACAATGTGTAGATGGATGTGTATGCCCTTTATCAGATAGGTCTCTGGTGAGTTCACTCTCTTCTGGGCTCTCCTGCCTCTTCACCTCCAATGTAGCTGCTCTTTGTAGAATTCTCTGGTGTGTGCCCCATCACTTCCTGGCTTTTCTGACTTTTTATTTCTGCTTTGGGTGATGTGTTAGAAATCTCATCTGATATTTTTGTAGTCTGCAATTCCACTTCTACTCGACTTTTCTCCATTTCCACTGAAGAGACTGGGTCTGAAATCTCTGATGTTGATGTAGTCTGCATTTCCATTTCAGTTTGACTCTCTGTTGCAGCCACATGTTCAAAGTTCACCTTTTTTTTATTTTCTAAAGATTCCGAATCTTCGACTTTACGATCTTCATGAAATTCATTAGAAATGTCTCCAATAGGTTCACTGACTTCCTGGCTTGTCTGGTTTTGGATGTCCACTGTCTGTGCTAGGTTATACACTTCCTCTGATATTGTTGTGGTCTGCATATCCACTTCTATTTGATTCTCAGGGGCAGCAACATTTTCATCATCAGCTCCGACTTCACCTTCAGTGCTCGGACAATGTGTAGATGGATGTGTATGCCCTTTATCAGATAGGTCTCTGGTGAGTTCACTCTCTTCTGGGCTCTCCTGCCTCTTCACCTCCAATGTAGCTGCTGGATTAGAAATCTCTGGTGTTATTATAGTTTCCATTTCCACCTCGTTACTACTCTCAGGTCCACTAGCACATTCAGAGTACTTGTTATCTTCATTTTCCAATATTTCAGAGTTTAAAATCAAATCTCCATGAACCTCTAGAGGCAATTCTTTGCTCATTTCCTCTTTCTGATTTTGTATTTCCACATTAGGAGTTGGATGAGAAATCTCTGATGTCAATGCAGTCGTCTGCATTTCCATAATTTTTGAATTTGCAACCATATGATGCTTATTAATTTGAGTAGATATTTCTGCAGTAGGTCCACAAACCTCTTGGCTTTTCTGGTTCTGTATTTCCAATGTAGAGGACAGATTACAAATCTCCTGCTCTGATGTTGTTGAATCCTGTATATCCATTTTGAGCTCACTGTTTGCAGCAGTGGCACACACAACATTCATTTCCTTTTCTTTCTCCACACTTGTAGAATTTTCAGCTATCACATCTTTGTTAACTTCTACTGGTGTTTCTGTAGTTTGGTCATAAAATGTGTGGTTCCCCTGGTTTTGTATATCCTCACTAGGTGCTGAGTCAGACATGCCCACTGATCGCACTTCACTCTGCATGTCCATGTCTGTCACACCAGGAACTACGACACATTCAGAGAGCATCCCTTTTTGTTTTTGATCATGAAGAGTCTCACAATCAGGTGTCAATATTTCAGTTGCCTGAGTGCCATGAATAAGTTGCACCTCAACAAAAGATCCTGGGCCCGAAGCACACTGAGTGGTCAAGAACTCTTTTCTTTCACTTTCTCCAAACTTTTCTTCAGACTTTATAACTACTTTGTTCATACCATCATGGGAGCTGACAACTGTATCTGCTACTTGATCCTGCATGTGGACAGATCTGGATTCCTCCTTGTAAGTAACTTTAATTTTCACACTGAGGTCTGTTTCACTCTCAGGACTATTACTTCTTACCAGGATCTCTTCTGGTGCAGAGTTTGTTTCATTTGACAGTCCTTTATCATCTATACCTGCATCTTTTTGCTCCACTGAGACACTGGTTGCTTCAATCACTCCCTTTATTTCATGTTCACGCTCCTTAGTTTTACATTTTATATTCAGTTTCATCCTTTCAGAAACAAACTCTGTAGTCTCTTTTCTTTCAGTTTCATTGCTCATATCTGTCTGATTTTCTGGTCTGCACACTGAGCCAGTTTTTTCATCTTCATGGTCACATCTTGGTTTCACCTCTCCAGTAGCAGAATGTAGTGTTTCCACTGACATTGCTAGTGTTTTATTATCTAGATCCTTGTGGCTTTTGGTGGACTGTGCAATGTTAATCTGCTCATTTTCCTTAGAAGTGATGCACGGCACATCTGCAGCCATTGCAGAGACAGAGTCTAATATTTCTCTAGATGGTGCTAGTGTTTCATTATCTATAAGATTTTGGCTTTCTAAATTTTTAGTTTCCTCATGTTGGCTTTCTTCAGCTACACACTCAAAGTTGATGCCAGCCTTTGCACTCCCTGTTGCAGAGTCTAAAGTTTCCCTTGACTGTGCTTGTGTTCCAATCACAGAGTTTTCTTCACTTTCTGCTTCAGAAACAGATTCAGTAGATTCTTTTTTCTCATTCAGATTAGCCTCAAACATGCCAGAAACACCCGGTGAATCTGAGAATCTACCATAATTGTGGTCCATCTGTATAAGATCTGGCGGTGTGGATGATAACCCTTGACTTGCCTCCTTTGGGCCAGATGACAACTCTTCAGCCTTGCGCTTAGCTTTAACTTTGTTTGAATATTTTCTAATGCACCGTGCCTTGTCACCCTCATCCCTCTCTCTAAAGAGGTCAGTCTTACTTCCATCATTACTCAACTCACTGTCAGATTCTGTGGAGGCTGTTCGCTTCAGGGAACCTTTGAAGTCAGCTGTTTGTGAGGGAGCTTCTCCGCAGGAGGCACTTGTGGCATTCAGGAGCTTGGCTTTTTTGACAGGTGGATCAGAAATGGTTTTGCTGGAATCCTTTGAAGGGGAACTCGGTTTGGATGACTTGGCTGGTGTATTTCCATGTTCTGTTAAAGCTGACCGTTTTTTCTTAGTCCGAGGGGCTGTTGTCTTTTCTTGCTTAGTTCCTGTTTTAAGTGGCTTATCAATGGTAGTAGCTGCAGCAGTTTTGGATGGCAAAGCCTCCCCATCCACATTCAACTTCCTCATCTTGGGCTGAGAATCATGAGGAGCTGGTCCTCTCTTCGGGGCTGGCATACTGTCAAAACATTTGTCAAAAATAAATAAATCACAATAACTGTGATAAAGCCAGGACATGGAAAACACTATTTAATCCTAACACTATTTAATCCTAATATTACTACTGGTTAAACTGGCTGGAATTCACACATTTTTACTAGCATCGTGCAATATCTCCTTTCCTCTTTTGTGGAGTAATTAAATGCCAAGAAATCCTCCTGAATAGCGAACATGCCTTCAAACCACACCACACATCATCAAGCTATATTTGTGCCATTACAAGTTAGTATAAACTATCAACCTTTTCTAAATGCATTAACAATCACCTTGCTTTCCTGCAAGCTTTAAGGCTGGCTAATAGTGAACATAAACAGTGATAAATCGCAGTTAAACTAGGTGGCTAGCGAGTAACACAATATACGATCTACATTTACTCATTTATTCACCATCGATATTAATTATTTTGCTGACTGTCTGAGAGTCGACGGAGGTTGTTGTCCCCACGACTTGTGCAGTCAGAAATGGACAGTTAGCCTGCTAGCTGAAGTCCACAGTGACGGGAGCTAACGCTAGCAGAAGCCAACTCGCAACAAATGAGCGGAACGGGAGTCGCTACTCAAATCAGCCAAAACAGCAGCCAGACAGAGCAGGCAGACAGTTTACAGAGGACTACTGGCTATTCTAATATCATCGAAAAGATACAAGCACACCTTTCAGGAATTAAACTCACTTTTGATGTTTTCTTTTCCAACAGCAGCTGGGTTTTTTCCTGTGAATAAAAATTAACTGTACTTCCGGAGGGAAACGGCGGATGTGACGTAACCACGCACGCTGAAAATTTAGATTGTAGTTTTGGAAATTTATCACTTATTTTAATTTAAATAATCATCATTATCAGGGGCAATCGAAGGACACTAGATAAAAATGTGTTACTTTTTAGAATCTGATTTAAAAAACTGTATAATCATAAGACTTTATTGGTCCCTGGTTGGAAACTAACAAGCTACCCAGCAATAATTATAAGCATGTACTAGATACTTTTACCAGTTGCAACACTAAATATGTTCTTGTGATGTACACAATAATGCATCAATAATTATGACCCAATAATATGATATACAATGTGAAATGTGCCATTCTGCATGAGTACTTTTATTTTCAGTATGTCTAATATATTTTTATGCTAAAACATTTGTACTTTTACTTACAGTAAGTAGCACTGAAAGCAGGACTTTTACACTGTGGTATTGCTACTTTTACTGAAGTAAACAATCTGAGCAGTTTATCCACCAACGGTGGAAGATGCATTTCCATTGTTGCATATCATACCTGTAAATTTTAAATCTGTCTGATAAATATTATTTAACTGACTTCCACAGAGTTATGGAGAAGCCATGCATAATGATCAGATACAATCCAGTCAGTTTTATGTGATTTTATTTTTCAGACATTGCAGGCATTTGCTCAGCAAAATCACATTACAGGCAAACACAACATGTACAGTAGTTTACATGTGTTAGATTTAAATATACAGAGACAATTCAGTATAAATGTTTAGTATTTTTGCAAGCGTACAGTGCAGTGACTGAGAGAAAGTGATATTTATTGATCAGTGCACTGATAATAATATCAATAAAGGCAATGCGAGTGCTTAAATCCTTGTTACTTTTTCATCTCAAGTATTCCACTTCCTGGTCCTTGCCTCTTCGCACTGCAGATGTTACAAAACTGCATCCCGGGAATCTGGGGCAGGAATTATGGAAAAGTTGTAGGAATTGTAAGATATGTTTGAGATTCTCAGACATAACAGTGAGTGCAGACAAATAGAGGATGGTGGGAAGTGATGACACTGTACAAATACAAAGTCATTATACAAAAAGAAATAATGTGATAGGTAAAGAGTGGCAAAGATTTTACGGCAATGCAGTTACTTACTGTTGCTGGGGATGGTACACATTCTTTATGAAACATGTGTCTGCAGTGAAACACCACCACACTGAAGGATTTGGCCATGTCTGAAATGCAGGTGTGAAGCATAAATGAGCAATAAATAGATTTAAAATGCATTGCAAAAGTAAAGGTGAAAGGAACCTCATGAACAACTCACCTGATGACAATATTGTAGTATGACAAGCTTCACAAATGTTATCCTCTGAAAAGAAAACAGATATGATCATGCTTAAGAGTTTAGTTTAAAAGCACTTATCTCTGCTGCTTTTGCATGTGCACCCACCATCAACCCTGACCCCTCTCATCTGAGTTCGGTGCATTTTCTGTAGCAAGGAAAGCGAGTCGGCCACCAGGATCTTCTTACATCCTTCCCTCAACAGAATCTGAGAAACATGGAAACAAAACAGGTGTGTGTACGAGCATGATTTAATGACACGATTAATTTGCAAATGTGATAAGGAAACATGAAACTTTCAGGACAAATACAATGAGAACACACTTTTCAGTGAAGCAGGACACATCTTGTGTTCAACAGTTAAACTTTTGTAATAAACTATTTGCATAGTCATAGTTTTTCAGTTTAATACATGAAAAATACAGTAAAATTTTCAAATGTGTTGCACAATTCAGATGCAATAATCTGCTCTTTTGTTGACACATAGTGTCAATGCACCTACAATGTTTTAGTGTTACCCAAGTTTTTATTTGTTCATTGAATCTTTTATTGCTGGCTTGATGTTTCTTTTTATTGCTTTCTTCTTTTAATCATTTGTTTGAACTGAAAACAAGAAATACTAATAGCAAGAATGGGTGTTTACAGTTGTACTACCATTTAGTCATCTGTAAACCAGATGACTGATTTCATTTCTGCTTCATGATGATTTTAAATGAGAAAAAGGTGAGTTCATCTGAAATGAGCATTTCTAACCTGCAGATTGTAGTCCTGAAGGATTTTTACTAGTGAATCTCTGAGATTTGGGATCTCCATGCCTTCCTTTATGCGGTAAATGAGCAGGATGGGATCAATATGAGTACCAATGTTATTAAGGAGGCCAGTGATGAAGGCTGGAGAGACAACAGAGAAAAACAAGAAATAAAAAGTGATAGAGAAATATAAAAAGACACAGGTTTGCATTAACCAAGTCAATAGGAGACTATGGCTCACGTGGTTTATCAATAGAGTAAGAGATGAGATCCTCCCACAGCTCTGCATCATCCTGCTCTTTAGCAAACTCTATGGCTTTGTCCACATCCTCCAGCTCTGCCATGATCATCTGCAGAGCTCTTCTGCAGTTCCCCATCCTGCCTAGGAGACACATGCTGGATTAGTTTCCTTTAGTTCATTTCTGATAAAGCAGAGATAATAATTAACACTTACTGAGAAGGAAGACGGTCTCCTCTACAAAGTTCCTCTGCTGACAAATCTCAAGAGCCTGTGTGAGAAAAACAGAAGAAACAAAATAATTCATGTCCCGTAGCTTCTGAAAACATGGGTGAGTGACGAGATACCCTGGAAGAATTGTACCTTTTCAAGTGGGCAGTGTGTGCTATCTCTCAAGAAAGGTAAGAGATTTGGTCGGTCGTATTCGGCATACAGGCTGATCTGTCTCTCGTGGTACTTTTGGCATTTTTGGTGGTCCCGCTTGAACAGTTTATGAAGATACTGTGGAGAAAAGATAAGTCAAACGCACTGTGCAATCAGTTCTGTAGGCAATTTTGAGAGGTAAAGTGATTATGTTTATAGTTACACATAACTCACCACATGCAGAAGTTCAGGCCTGTCTGCTAGTTCTTCCACCACCCTGTCTGTCTGTTAGAAGCATGAAATGAAAAAACATTAGTGGATGGTGTATTTTCATCAGAATGCTAATAAAAAAAAAAAAAACTGATGGATGTGAGGCACACTTACTGATATCTTGTCTTCATTGTCGAGGAGCATGTCAACAGCTTTCTGGCAGCATAAATTCAGAAGGAATTTTATTTATCTGGGAAAACATTTTTACCTACTACATTTTAGAAGGTCTTTTTCATTTAATGAAAACATAAACATGAATAAACTTGTTGTTTTTTCAGTCTATGATTCGTCTTTTACCTCTTTATCAAATTCCATGAGGAGTACAATCTTATCCTCTATGGATGAGAAAAGATTGTGTTTTCCGATCAGCTGGTAGACGTCTTTGTGTCGCAGTCTCAGGTAGATTTCTAAGGCTTTGTCGTACCTCTGGTCGTAGGTGTACCTGCAAAAGCATCAGAGATAAACAAGATAGATAGACAAATACTGTGCAACTAAGTATTGCTCAAACACAAAGAACTTTACTTAAAACTTTATTAAAAAACACAGAGTTTCCAAAAATACAATGCGGGTCATGCAAAATTCCAGAAAGCTGTGCATAAATGATGCATAATGCATCAAGTTTTTCAGTTTGTTAAAAAAAATGTACTAAAACCCTGGCATCTAAAATCTCACTCTGTACAAGTGGCTAACTACTGGTAATGATCGCTCACAGTTCAGCCAGTGTGGTAAGCAAGGTGCTGTTCATTGGGTCCTTCTTCAGGTGCTCGGTGATGGCTTGAACAATGGCCATGTTATTATAGAGCTCTCCTGGCCATTGTCGAATCAGTGTGGCAAAGCCCTTTGTGGAAATGAAAAATGGCCTATCAGCTGACCAAAGCATCACCCAATGGATCATAACACAGGATGTCAAGATTCGCAAAATTGTGGGACAAAGTACCTCATAATCAGTTCTGAGGAATTCATGTAAGATCATTTCATAGATGGTTGGTCTGAGACGCAGATCTCCTACAGGTAAATACTGACTGATGGCCTGGAATGAAGAGAGGTGGAGAGTGAGGTGGTATAATACTGAGACTGACACTGGACAAAAGACAGAAAACATTCCACGGAGAACAGCTATCCTGCACATACCTTCAACTGTCCGATGGCCTTGAATCTATAGACTTCATTCTCCCATAGTTCCATGTTTTTCCCAAGGACCTTTTGACATTTCCTGCATTGACAAAAAGCACATGAATCATTCGGCTGAAGATCAGAACATCCTGCTATTTGACTTTGCTTGCAATTAATGTACTTCTCACTATGGAGTTAAGAGTTCATCAGTTAATTAGAAATGTGAATGGAATATATCTCATTAGCATACAGTATGAAAACCAGTGGTGGAGGAAGTGATTGTTTACTTAAAAAAAGTAGCAATACCACAGTGTAAACTTTAATGCTGCAGCTGGTAAAGGTGGAGCTAATGTTAAAAACCTTATACTGCATTCTCTCTATCAGAACCTAATAATATACCCCATACTTTCTTTAACCATTATCAAGCACAGCCTCTGGGGTTGACATGAACTGCCCTGCTTTGTTTTTCCACTGTACTGTCTCTCTGTCAGTCTGTGTTTAGAGGAGGGAGGGGATGCTTCTCCAGTCAGCTGTGTCTTTACACATGGTGCTTGTAATGCTAATGATTGACGTGTGAAGACACTGACATTTAACCAATCACCGGTGACTGCTCTGTGCACACGCATCCCCTGACCGCTCACATTCTTGGTACTTGAGTTTAGTACTACCTCCTGAGGGGTGCTGAAATTTAGCTCCCAGGATGCACCTCCAAAGTGGCCCGAGTGTAATGGAAACAAAGGTAGAACACATGACGAGCGTTACTCGGTGCAAAATGTTTCAGTAGGTTCCTATAATGGAAGAACCCCTTTATATACTTATAATTGAAAGTACTATGTATATACTGCAGGGTTGCAGGATAGCTTGTGAATTTTCCACAGAGAACCAATACAATCTTGCGATTATACTGTATTATTTCATTAATCTCATTCTGAAAGGTTTATCAAATAAATGCAGTGGGTACAAAGTACAACATTTTTCTCAGAAATTTAGTGACGTATAAAGTAGTAGAAAATGGAAATACACAAGTAAAAGTACAGATAACTCAAAACTTAAGTTCAGTACTTGAATAAATATACTTGGTTACTTTCCACATCTGATGAAAACTATAGTCTTTGAGCATTAAAGTTCATTTTTGACTTGTAAATAGTGGTTAAACAAAAAATAACTCAAGGTCCACTTACTGCTTAAAGCTCTGTAAAAAGTTCTTAAATGACCCTTGAGAACTTACCAAACACATCAACAGGTAAACCTACCTTGCAGCACTGTCATAGTCTCTTTTCTCTACTAAGTGATTGATGTAAGCCATCCCAATTTCCTGAACATCATGTCTCTTAATGTTTTTGAAACTGATCTCTGCAGCCATCAGTGCCTCCTGTCACAATTAAACCACAGTAACAGGATACAACATTAAACTCTGACATTGCTGATAGTAACCCTTTGTAACATTCATAAGATTCACTAACACACACCTCATATCTCTTCTTTTCAAGAAGCCAATCGATATGGTCATCCTGGTCTCGCTCCTTGGCCACAACGATGTCTTTGGGACTGATGATGTAGAAGAGCGACTCGCCCTCTGAATGCTCTGTTATTAAAAATACATTTATGCCTCTGCATACTGTGCATTAAACCTGACATTTGGTAGTCGATACATAATAAAATCAGAATGCAGTAAAAGGCTGCATGACATTTCTCTGAGGGTGGATTTATAGTCTCACCGAGGCGGTAGTCTCTGCACTCATTGCCTTTGAAGTTGCGCACAGTCAGTGCATCTGAAGAGATTTCTTCGCAGTTTTCAGGAAGAGGCTGGATAATGTCAAGACGAGGCCGAGCACGAAATTCCTCATCCTGCACAGAAACATGCGCACAATGAGTAAAAAGTTGAATATTCAGTGCCCACTTTATTCGGTTACAGTCTAATGTAATCCAAGTCTCATCACCATGTGATCGGAATTCTCCTTCACGAAGAACAGGGTGACCAGCTGATCTGCGAGCGGTGCCAGGCCACAGATGAAAAACTCTGTCTCAAAAGCAGACACTAAAGAACAGAAAGAAAAGTCAAACTGAATCAAAAACACTATTGTCTTGTTACAGTGCATTTAATACATTTACAAGACCAGAAAAAGATCAGGCATGTTTTATCCCGCACAACCATGGCAACCATTTAGACTTGGCAAGCCAACCCGAATGTGACGTCCTGCTCTACTGCACCGACGTCTGCTCTTCTCCTGCATTACTCTACTATCACTAACACAAATTCTGGTTCACTCACTAGGTAGATAATGTAACCTGAGTATTATTTTGCTTTTATTCTTCCTTGTGTTTCATTTCACTATTGTCATTCTAGTGAATCACTTTGAAATTCTGGCAACTTTTCAATATTGCTTGACATTGTTATTATTTCTATATAAAAAGCACTTTGTAACATTTTTAAGGAAAGTGCTCTATAAAGGAAATGTATTATACTGTATAATTATTACACGCAGTGTGTGCTTTATACCTATTTCCACATAACGGCTGGGCAAATCTCTCATTTCAGTAGGATTTCGTTCTTTCACAACACAAATCTGAGGAGAAACAAAAAAATTACATAGAAAAACTGCAACAGCCACTACCTGTAATGACTGGTTAATTAAAACAGACATGAGGCGAACCTTAATGGAAGTACCCCAGCCAACAATGAGAGTGGTGTTGTCTTTCCAACACAGGCTACATGGGTACATATCAGGCCTGAGACTGACATTATCTCGCAACACATTGGTGATCCGCTGTTTGGTGCCGATGTCATAGATTTTAACTCCCTAAAAGAAAGAAAGAAGAATGCAAACTTTTACCAGTTTCACATTCAATATTGTCTGTTTTATTGGCATGTGTGATGGAACACTCACCACATTGTTTGCCCAGGCAATGAGATTAGCCCTCCACTGGATATTAGTGATGGTGCCCTCACCTTCGTGTAGCACAGAAGTCTTCCAGCGACTCAACCAATTTCTTTCATACAGAAGTAGCTTTGAGAACGAAATCAAACATGTATTACTACATTTTGCATCTCTAGTTAACAGCAGCTCAGTGCAGTTTTTCTATCCCACCTACAGAGGGCAGTAGATGAACAGTGCATTACAGATCAACAGCAGCTGTGTCTGACATGATTGTGAAGCAGCTTTATCCTAAACTGCAAGAAACTTTCTTGCAAATAGTGAAGTAAAACCCGATTTCAGTTGTCATATGTAGAGTGTAGTTCCACTTCAGAGCATTCAGACCCAAAGACAGATCATTCATCAGACTCCATCTGAGTGAGAAAGCTTCATGATAGCAGTTTAAAGATTCACATGACCAGAAAAAAATTGCACTACACATTTTGTATTCTTCATTGATTTTACCATACTTAGAGTATGGCGTTGAAAACTGGGGAAACACATACAAAAGTTCACTTCAACCATTGTATATATTACAAAAAAGAGCGATAAGAATTGTGCATAAGATGGGGTATAGGGATCACACCAATGTAGCTTTCATACAGTCTAAATTGTTAAAATTTTTTGATTTAGTGGGATATAAGACTGCTGTGTTTATGTATAAAGCCAGGAACAATTTATTACCTGGTGGAATTCAAAAACTATTTAATGAAAGGGAAGGGGGATACAATTTAAGGGGTCAGTTAAATTTAAAAATTCATGCTATACGTACAACCAAAAAAAGATTCTGTATTTCCATAAGTGGGGTAAAACTATGGAATAATTTAAGTGTGGACATAAAAAATAGTAATAGAATTGACGTGTGTAGAACAAAATTATCCATGTAGTAATACTGCTTGCAAACCAATGATGATAAGATGATGTTAGGGAGGTAGGACTATAAGTCTAACTTCTTCCTACTCCGTTCAAGCATGTACTAGGTCTAAGCAAATTGAAAATATATTTGTGGATCTGTGTGGAATTATGTGTGTTGACATATTGACTGTTGTTACATGTTTGAAAGAATAAATCAAATCAAATCAAAAATCAAACCAAAATTTGTGAGTAGACAATGGTGTGAAAATACCGTAATGCACCATGAGCATGAGTTCATGCATCCTCTATTCATAAGGGTTATTAGAATACACACCATTTACTGTAGGCACATTTACATGATATGTATTTACTGTCCTATCTTATCACAGAGGTGTGTAAACTCAGTGACAGTGCTATGAGGTTTCACAGTGCAATGTGGCATCAGTGTGGTCGCAGAGGTCCTTCAACAATTGCAGTTTAATGTTCAGGCCTTGTGCTGTACATGCTTTAGAGGACAAAGCCTGTTATTCACATTCCCTAAATTGTTACTGTCCTTACTATATAAACTGGCACAAAAAACCCCAAAAAAGTGCTTAATATTACCAAGGAGGCTAAGAGAAGGTTGTATATGCTCTTTAATTCAGCAGTTGGGCTATGTTAATAAACAGTTTGCTCCACAAAGAGATGATATGACAAAAGAACTATGGAGACAAAATTGAATTTCCTTTGACAGGATGTGGCTCCCGTTGAGGCTTATTGATTTTCATCACATGCACCTTGTGGAGGCCTTCACGACTTGGAACTGAGAGGAATCAGCACCAATTGAAAGAAAATGGCAAAGTAACACTAACAATGGGGTTTCAAAAAGTTGTTTTTCCTCACCTATGTTGTATAAATGTCAGTATACTTTATTTATGGATGGCCGTGCAATGACCCTGGAGTTTATAGTGATGCAGTTTATAGCAGTGTAATTGGCAAGTGGTGTTTTGCCTTTGAAAAACAAAATGACAAACCGAATGTCTAAAATACTTTTTACCCTCTGTAGTGACATACCTACCAGAGACAACTTACAGGAGAGAGATCACAGTATGTGCCCGGATGTCCTAAGACTATGTACCCCCTTGATAATTACATCTATTTTCTGTGCTTGTGAAGCATTGCCTTTCAAACACTGTTGAGCAGGCAGCACTTTGTGAAAATGGGCAGCTCTCTCGAGAGCACTCCAGCAAAGAGACAGAAAAGTAAGAGCCTTTCACATCAGACAGAGGCCTGTGCATCGCCTTCAGCCCAAAGTGAAAAGGTTTGCAGGATTAGGTTTCATCTGGACACAGTCAGGGTGAATTATTGCAGAAGGAAATGACAAAAACTGTACATATTGACTGAAAATAAGTAAGTACTAGTCAAACCTACCTTGTTGCCCCCAGTGACAAACTGCTTGTAGTTCGATCTGGTGAACTGAGGGTGTAATGCAACCACCTATAAAAATAACATATGGTTGACAGATTAGACCACAAAGATTTTTCTGTTTAGGAGTGTGAAATGTGATATTTCTTTATGCTGTAGGCAACACATATATGCAAAAATGCTGTAAGTCTGCAGAAACACTTACTTTGATGGGGCAGTCAAAGTTTTCATGGAAGCCCTCTCTCGTATAGAGACCAAACACTTGAACCTAAAACAAAGACAAAACAGGTGAATGCCAAGCATAGGTGAATAACTCAACACTTCTCCTTTAATTGCTGCCTCTGCTACTATCTGAGGCCAGCGGGGGGACCTGTGGTCAGGAACGACTTTGACTGGCTCCCTACTTCTCCGCTAGATCACCAATTAGTGGACAAGTTGATTCTTTGAACCCTGGAGGGTTTAGAAACAGGAGTCCTAAACTTGGACTTCACCACAGTCTCACTTGGCTACAGCAAACTCTAATGTACCACGAGAGTATGTGACTCCCTCTTTTCCTTTATCTGAGGCCCCAAGAAGAAGCCAGAATTTTAAGAGGGGGAGTAATAAAACTGATGCCGTTTCTTTTTTTGAGTCACACTAGTGATTAAGGATTACGTTAGATTTCTAAGGATTAACAGCCAGCTGAATTGGCTGAGGGCAAGCAAATGCTGTAGCACTGATTTTAATTGTCTGCTCCACTTTTTGTGTAACAAGAGCTTGTTTTTGCTACAAGAGTGGTAGAAGTAGGGGGAGGGTGATATCAGAGAGCATATCTTGCTGCAAAATCCATGAAGGATAAGTGGTAATGATGAGAAAAGACCAGATAACAGTGAGGTGTGGAACTTGGACAGGGTATCCATAAACGGCTGATGTCTGACTGACTGATTCCTCTACTATTCAAAAATGGTAGAAGCTTTTTATATATTCCCGCATCATAGAAAAAAAAAGGGTTTGTGTTGATAAGGTGGATATAAGTTCCAGGTTAATGCTCTGTCTGGGAAAAAAGCACCTTTGAAAAATTCACAACCAAACACCTCAAGTTCCACATCATTAGCATCAAGTTTAACGCTGATAAGATGAGTCTTATATGAATCTGAGGATGAATTATGAAAGATGAAAAACACTGATTGGCAATTCTTCACTGCAGACCCAAGGGTCAGTAACCAGTGGTGATGAGCAGAGAGATCGTACCTTCCCATCCTCGGAGCAGATGCCCAAATGCTCTCCACTTTCATCCAGACTGATCTGGTTGATCCTCACTGAACTCTATGAAGACAAAATATCATGGCATCTTTTTTTAGAGGCAGATGAATATTTCTGTGGCTGGCCAAATGCTGCTGGCTGACATTTTACCCTACGAAGTGGAATAGTAGAAAAACTGAAGGGCAAAACTTTGAGTATGTAATGGATGCATGGTGGCGTTTGTGTCAATGCACAGTGCAGGGCGTTAATACTGAGGTTAGGGGTCCTTCACTGCGGATACTTTTAAAGTTTAGAATATAGGATTCTCTAGACACAAATAATCAACAAAATATGTTAAATTACATTAGTTCATTCTGAAACTACAAAGTCCTTCAGAGTCCTATGTGATTCCTAAACCTGTCTTCTCTTTGTGGATCTATATTAATCTGTCCACACTGAGGTTCAATCCTTGGTGCATTTGTTTTAGGAATTTAGAGGTTTTATTATCCTGGCAAAGTTAATCATCCATAATTATATACCTGAGAGTGTAAAGAAGGATTTGAAACAGGATTCTGGATGTCATATTTGCAAATAAAACATTATGAGTAAATATAATTAAACATTTAATAAGCAAAACATTAAAAAAAATTTCTTGCTCCTAAAACTCTGAGAAAAAAGTCAGAATTTTGAGTTTAAAGTCAGGAAAAAGCTCTGAGAAAAACTGAAGTACATTTTGCACAGTGTCCTTAATCCCCCTCCGTACAGAGGCGTATGGTGTGTTGGTGAAACCTAATCTCTGTATTTCTAGAATCTTGGCTACAAACATGTTTGTGTGACCACCTGCAGGTACATGTAATGCTTGAGATCTTCTGTCAAGTCAACCAAACTATTGCAAAAGTTACAATTTGGACCCAATGTGTTGCTAGATGACCAACATTATTAAAACTCATATTTGTGAGACCATAAATGACTAGCACATTTCATGGCAATTCATCTGGCAGTCTGTGAGCTATTTCAGTTTGGACCAAAATGGTGGAAGGACCAAGAGACATGATGCAAGCTTGGCTAAAAACCTATATGTTTCAATGTGCCTAAAGAGTTGTATCATTATAACCAATAGAATTATCACTCACAATTTCAAGCTTCTGAGTTACATTTCCTTGGATGTCCAGCAGGAAGACCTTCCCAAAATGGGTACCTAGGGCAAGAAACTGATAAAAAGAATGTAATTAAACCAAAAAGACACTTGAAACCAATACAAGATTTTAGAAAATTCTTGTGTTGATGAAGGCTGTGGAAGAGGATAAAAATACTTCCTGAAGCTGGAGTGACATGGGCAGAGTGGGAATTGGGTGGGCTTAGAGGCAAAACTGTGAAATTGCAGGGGATGGAAAAGCCCTATTTATTAAATCAGACAGTGTGAAATGGCATTTTTTGCTCAAATTAAAATGCTTAAGCATAATAAATGCACTACACATCTGACTTCTTCCCATGCAACCCAATCACTTCTCTGCCCAGCAAGGAGCTATTATTTCTACTGAGCAGCAACTGGTTTCTATGTTTTGTGCCCCAGCAGAAGTGCATGTGTTCATGTGTGTGTGCGTGAGTCCACTGGGACAAAAAAATTATAGAAACTGAAGGCTTTTGGCGTTAGATTAAGTGTGTGTTCTTCCACCCCAGCCCCTTCTCCATTCCCTCCTCCTAATCCCCCTCTCTTCTAGACCAGCATGTGGATGTGCAGCGAGCCCACCATGCTTCAGTGCAGTCTATAATGAAATGCTTATATTTACAGGCACAGCTGAGCATGTCAGACAGAGCCCCTGCAATCTCCACAAATAAAATAACCAAAAATAAATAAATAAAGGGTTCAACCTTGTGAGGTGGAGCGACTTTTAAAAGGATTTATCAGAAGAGAATTGTTCAAATGAAATTCCGATTCAGACGCTTAAAATATGAGGCAACATCAGGCAATATGTGCTGTCGGTAGCTTTAAGGTTGAGAGAGCTGGCCGGGGTGATGGGGCCTTATGTGACCACACAGGTAGCTGGTGGGCAGAAGGTACACAAGCAAAAAAAATCCCAGGAAGAAAGGCAGCCAGATCAAATTTAGAATTTCAGCAAAGCAGTGTCTCTCACTGTGGCACGGCTGCTGTTCCGAGGTTAAAAAGGGAGAGAGACCAAATCTTCAAGGTAAAAATAAATAAATGAAAATCAATAGCGGTTAATAAAACATCAGGTGAGGAAACATAACTGGGTGCGACTTTTGCTCTGCTCAGGTGCATGTGTGATTCTGGTGCCATGACGATGAACTATCTCACTGAGAGTGGCCTACTTAAAAACATCGTCATTCCATAAACAGAGGAAACGAGGGAACGTATGTAAAAGTGGGAATAAAAAGAGGAGAGGACAGTGGTGCCTGGAGTCTTCTGATGTAGCTCCCTGCGAGGAAAAGCAGGGGAAGGTGAGAAAAGAATGGGCTGCCTTCACAGACTGAAGGAGAATGAAAAACAGTTTTGAAAAGGACATCTCTCAAATGTGTACATAAACAATGTAAGATCTCTATCTGAGCAGGGTGGACTTGAGAGTGAAACGTCCTTGTTGGTGGTAAATTATAACCTCTACCTTGTCATGGACGGTCATACAGCTGGCTGCATCGTTCTGGAGGATTTCTGTCACCCCATTGGAGAGCCTCTCATACTTCAGCTTGGGCTCCTCCTCGCTGTCCTCCTCCTGCTTGAGAGAGTAGACACCTGATATAGGCCCTCGCTGCAACATTTTCTTAAAAGGTATTCATTACACCAAGACAGTGTCAACTCACAAAAGTTACCCGAACAAAACAGCCACTTCAAGTCATGTATATCTTGTGGTCTATGATACCATCACAATGCAATAGCCCTACCTTGTGACATACAGTATTTTAAGACTTTGCTGCTTACATTCTGTTAATTCTTAAAATTCTGAAAACACATGAGCCTTTCATTTATTGTAAATTCTACACAGGCTACAGGATGTCAGACCACAACTATTAACTATTTTCACTGATGATTCAACTGAATATTATTTTCTTGATAATCATTCTGAAAAACAGTTAAATAAAATAGCTGGGAATCCCAACGTATTTGTGTCTTTTATCCCTGACCAGGGGTTTAAAATGATGTAATTAACAATAAAAGAAAAGAAAAACCTGTGATGTTTGCTTGAAAAAAGCCTGAAGCCAATTAACCAATTATCAAAATATTTAATGATTAATTTTGTATTGATCAACTAACTGTGTCAGCTTCATATCCAATTACATTTACATACATATAATGTAATAAAATACCAGGGTTTTTTCATATGATTTTTTCATTTTCAGCGGCCTTCCTATAACAGTGACTAATAAATAATATGCAACTATGCTGGTTTTATATCCACAGTGTCCACTCTTACTGCCACAGTGTCAAGGAGCAAGTCACTAAGATACTAAGATCAGCAGGACCAGTTATCCATGGATACTGGGTTTGCGTGCGCAAATCAGAGAGATACTGTATATTTATACAGATATTTATTTTATTTTTTATTTAGTGGGAGTTGTGGGATTAAAATAAAATTCTGAAAAAGCAGAAAATAAGTTGCGATGCGCCCACACCCTTTGTTTACAATACTACTATTATGCTCTTATGTTTTAACTATGACTCTCATTATTAAACTGACACTGTTTTTATGCTCAGGTGCCATATTTTTTAATAAAAAGGTCAAACCAACCAATTTCCATGACTTTTGTGAATGCAGCATAGGGTAATTCTTATCTTTTCATGAGACAATTTATCCCCAATATGAAATACATGGATTTGGTGTTTTCATAAAGCAAACTTAGAGTATTCTTCAGTGTTACACTTTCCAGCGTGAGCCGACATTTGCGGCCAGTCACAGCCTGAATATTACACATAATTCAGTTTATAACCAATGCTGCACAGTCTGTGGCTGCCCAGAGAGTGCATCAACTCAAAACATTGTCTGCCATTATGTGCTACCGGGTTGGAGGTGGGGGACAATAGCGTGGAAAAAATGTTATTTTCAAAAACAATCCTTTTCCACTCAACAACGCCATATCTAGGCTATTTCCTGTGTATTCTGGTTGTGAGATTTCTGATGCGAGGGCATTTGTCATGGGTTTCAAAGGCGTATCAAACAACAAAGGCAAACTTCATCCCCAGAGAGAAACTACCCATTTTCAAACTTTTGTTATCTCCTTTAAGTTAGTCTTTGTTTTGTCCACTACTAAGCTGGCCTTTGTATTGGAACCATTTCTGCCATATTCTTTGTCTGTTGGCAGTTAAAAATACCACTGGCTGGTGCATTCAGCCAATTTAGGATAATGTTTCTTTCAAATACACAATCGACAGTCAAGGAAGCCACTCATTTGTCACCTACAATCAATCGTACAACCTTGTTAGGGGCATACTGTAAAATCAAAGCGTATTTTGTGACTTAGTTTGGACAAAAGATATAAATTCTTCAAAACATGAGCCTTCTCACATAACAGGAAAGTTAGGATTGAGCTGATATATTGTAAACATCATGAACATTTAAATTTCACAAAGAAAAAACAAATTTTCACACCACTTTGTATATTTTGCACCAACAAATGATTCTTCAGTATGAGCTGCTCATGTAAATGTAATTACTTTGCTTCAGTCAGCTAGGAAGATTATGTGAAGTTTATCTACTTATATATACAGTTTGTATCAGTTTTGAGGGTTTGATCAGCTGGACTCAAAGTTAAAATTGAACATATATCCTCTTGATGATTTAGACATCAAAACAAGACCAAACAAAAACAATGCATAATCAGTCATATTACTGTGTTAAGTGATCAAAAGTCAAACTAGGCAGGACTAATTGCAAAGGTTGTGAATAGATTTTCAAAATCCACAGTTCTGAAAAACTGTTATACTGTGAATTTCTTCTGAGTACCAGAATACAGTGTGCACAGGCCCTTATTGCCCTCATCTAGTGAGGCTCCTGTCAACCAGATAACAACAGCTTCAGTAGACACCAAGCAAGCTACAGTATATTGTAGCATTCAGAGTAAACAATCAGCTGCTTGCAGCCACTTGGAGGAGACATACGATCCCAGAGTCCCTGGAGCCTGTTTCCCTGAGAGTCTCTGTTCCCTACTATGCTGAACACACCATGCACAGTCAGAAAACAGGATAGAGGAAATATTTTTAGTTACAGTGCTGGAATTCCTATGTTTTCTTTCTTTTGCTCATTCTTAACTGTTTTCTTCAGAGAGGTGCACCTGTCTGCTGCAGCCTATCCCTGACATCCTTGGCTTCCTATAAAGACAAACCTCCTGCCAGGGTGATGTGTAAAGCTATATTTTATTTAGTGTACTTGTGATTGTCAAAAACACAGGTGTACTGTAACATACCAAAGCTCATTCATAATATTGATGGATCTGGAGAGCTATCTGTAATTTATGAGTGTTTGACACCTATCAAAACCCCACTAAGATCCTTTTGGGACCAAGCTGCGTT